CTTGATTTTTAAACCCCAAAATTTTTTTTATGATATGGGATGTTAGTGCTATCGGTCTGTAAACCAACCCCCGGCCGTTGAACCCGCGTCATAGAGTCTCAAAACTTCAGCCCGTCGCGTTAGCCACTAGACGGGCTGGAGTTTTGAGACTCTATGACCGCGGGTTCAATCCCGGCCGGGGGTATGGTTTGTTTGCAATCCTGTCATTACGATTTCTTGAGTCAAGCTATCGGTCTGTAGTTCTTTGCAATTGCTTTACTGCCACCTTTGTGGAGTGGGGCTATGTCTGTTGTTTTTAGTGTGTGTAGGATGACCCGTGTCCATGCTCCCTCTCCATAAAATGCTGAAGGCACGCGATAGGGGCTTCTTGCAATTCTTGATGAACACGGAGTTCCACGAGTCTGGGCCTGGGGCAGAGTGCATGGGCATGTCATTAATTGCCTCTTCAAAGTCTTGTGGAGTTAGAATAATATCCGAGATTTATGGGATGACCAAATTTTGGGTTTCGTTCATAAAGAATTCATTTGGATTATCGACCCTTAGAGCGGCAGTGGCTCGCTGAACACCGAGTCATATTGGACTTTAGTATCTCACTCATTCTTGGCTATCATCTGTATATGTCCCATCCTGCCTAAGCAGGGGCCCAGTACTGGATGTTATTTTTTCCTTAGATTTGGTATAAGAGAAGAATTTTTTTTTTTTTTCAATTTCCATTACAGCTTTTAGTTCTTCCTGTGATTCTTGTCTTCTATAAGATTCCTTCAGCTTAAGTTTGATATTTGCAATTTCATTGACTAGTGCCTCCCTTCATATTTCAGATATATTGACCCCACTCAGCAGCTCTGTGACTCTTCGCCTTCGTCTGTATAGGGAAAGTCTCTCTCTTTCTAGTTTACATCTTCTCTTTCTTTTTCTTAATGGAATGTGTCCTGAGCAGATCTCAAGAACCACCTGGACTTCATTACCTTTGTAACTAGTTCAGCTATCATAACTTTGGGTTCCAGTCCCTGGACCCATTATGTACCTCTGTAATCTTTTGAATACCGCCCACAGGATGGGTATGTGGTGACTACCACCCACAGGATGGGTATGTGGTGACTACCACCCACAGGATGGGTATGTGGTGACTACCACCCACAGGATGGGTATGTGGTGACTACCACCCACAGGATGGATATGTGGTGACTACCACCCACAGGATGGGTATGAGGTGCATA